GCTGGGCACGGTGGCTCTGGCCTGTAATCCCAGCACTTTGGGAGGCAGAGGCGGGCTGATCACCTGAGGTCGGGAATTGAAGACCAGCCTGGCCAACGTGGAGAAATCCCATCTCTACTAAAACTACAAACAATTAGCCGGGAGTGGTGGCGGATGCCTATAATCCCAGCTACTCGGGAGGCTGAGGCAGGAGAATCGCTTGAACCTGGGAGGTGGAGGTTGCCGTGAGCCAAGATTACACCACTGCATTCCAGCCTGGACAACAAGAGACTCCGTCTCAAAGAAAACAAAACAAAACAAAACAAAAAACAACATGAATTTTAAAGGTCCCTGGGCATATTTTCAGAATGAAGGGAAAGACCCAGGAAAAAAAAAACTGGTTGAAGACAGAACAAAAAAGAGGGTAGAGATAAATGAAGGAGCAAGGTTTGGTATTCAGAACACGGTTTGAAAAATTAGCCTTAAAGGAAAAAAGGTAAGGAGATAACTTTGTTGACAGGGGGCTGAAAGCCAGTGAGTTCCTGACGATAGGGCTGGTTTCCACTTTCTTGTTAAAATAATAAAAACATTTAAAAGTTGATGAGTACTTACCTCATTAAATCCTCACACTAACCCTGTGAGACTAGATGAGTGTTTCGAGTGTTTCTTAACCCTGGCAGCATATTAGAATCACCTCCAGAGCTTCTAAAAAATTTTGTTTTTGTTTTTTTGAGATGGAGTCTCACTCTGTCGCACAGGTTAGAGTGCAGTGGCACAATCTCAGCTCACTGCAACCTCCACCTCTCACGTCCAAGCAATTCTCCTGCCTCAGCCTCCTGAGAAGCTGAGATTCCAGGCGCACACCACCATGCCCAACTGATTTTTGTATTTTCAGTAGAGACAAGGTGTCACCATGTTGGGCAGGCTGGTCTTGAACTCCCGACCTCAAGTGATACACCCATCTCGGCCTCCCAAAGTGCTGGGATGACAGGCATGAGCCACAGAGCTCAGCCCTTCTAAAAAAGTTATCGAAGTCCAGGCCCCTCTCCCAGAGATTCTGATGCAGTTTGTCTGGGCTGAGACCTAGGCACTGGTATTTTTTTAGGTGAATCTGATGTACATCTAGTGTTGAGAACCATGGAATCAAGTTCTCTGTTGACTGATGGGAGTGGGGTGGTGGATGGCTACAGGTGGGTGGTAAAGGATTGCTGAGCAGCATTGAGGGCCTAGGTAAAGTTAGAGACCAAGTTTTAGTGGTCCCAATCCCCAAGGCTATGAGACTTTCCAGTAGGGCCCAGCAGTTCTGGGGAGTTTTTTGTTTGTTTGTTTTTTTGTTTTTTTTTTTTAACTGACTGAACCTCCCTCCCTTCCTCCCTCCCTCTCTCTCTCTCTTTCTTTCCCTTTTTGAGATGGAGTCTCACTCTGTTGCCCAGGCTGGAGTGCAGTGGGGCAATCACGGCTCACTGCAACCTCTGTCTCACAGGTTCAAGCAATTCTCCTGCCTCAGCCTCCCGAGTAGCTGGGATTACAGGCGCCTGCCACCACACCAGGCTAATTTTTTGTATTTTTAGTAGAGGCGGGGTTTTACCATATTGACCAGGCTGATCTTGAACTCCTGACCTCAGGTGATCTGTGCGCCTTGGCCTTCCAAAGTGCCGGGAGTACAGGCGTGAGCCACCGGCTGAATTTTTCTTTCTTAAGTAACTGTTTCAAATTTAAGCCAAGCTACTGAAATAAGTTAATCTATGAGCAAATATAATACTCATATTGGAATTATTAGTAAATATTTTATTTACATACTTATTAAAAATCAAGTATTAATACTTAAGTTGCCCCAAGGTAGACGTTTTCAAGGAAATCTATCTTTTCTTTTCTTTTCCTTCCTTCCTTTCTTTTTTATTGATGCACAGTAGATGTACAATTTCAAGGTAATGCAATAATCTAATACATTCATATAATTGGTAAAGATCAAATCAGTATACTTGGAATATCCATCCCCTTAAATATTTGTCTTTTCTTTATATTAGAACCACTCAAATTCTTCTCTTCTAACTATAGTTCTGATTTTAAGTGCATAGAAAGTAGACCATTGGACTGATCCTGAGTAGCAGGGAGGTGGATGCAGGGAGGTGGTCAAAAGAAAAAGAAACTGGACCTCCTCAATCCAATGATCAAGCCCTTAGGCCTCATTTTGAGTGTGCAGGGGATAGGAAAACAAACATGAAGCCTAGGACAAAGTGGGGAGATTAGGGTGGGCTCGAGGGCTTGGGTGTCTGCGAGGAGAAGAACAGAGGAACAGGACTGGTGGAGTCAGGAAGGGAAGGGGAAGGAGGGAAGCTGTGGTCAGTGGGTGGGCCTCAGAATCTGCACAGCTTTTAGTGACGAAAGGGCAGGGTGTGGGCACAGGGGTGGGGTCTGAAGCAGAATGACAGAATGTGAAAGGAGCTGAACCCTAAAAGGCTGGAGGGTCCCGGGGTCCCTCACCGACTGGCGCCTTCAAAAAACACTTGAAACAACCCAGCTGTCCTTCAACAGGTGAATGGTTCAACATACTACAGACATACATCATGGGATACAGGTTGAATATCATTTATCCAAAATGCTTGGGACCACAGTGTTTCGGATTTGGGAATATTTGCATTATACTTACCAGATGAGCATCCCTAATCTGAAAATTCGAAATCTGAAATGCTATAATGAGCATTTACTTTGAGTGCCATGTCAGTGCTCAAAAAGTTTCAGATTTTACAGCATTTTGCATTTTGGATTTTTGGATTAGGGATACTCAACCGGTACTATTTAGCAATACAGAGGAATAAACTATTGATAAACAAAACCACTTGAATGAAATCTCCAGCAAATTATACTGGGTGAATAAAACCAATCCCAAAAGGTTACATACTGTATTATTCCATTCATATAACATTCTTGACATTATAAAGTTACACAAATGGAAAACAGGTAAGTTGCTGCCATGGGTTAAGGGGGCTGAGGTGGGGCAGGAGGGAAGTGGGTATAGTTATAAAAGGCCAACAGGAGGGATCCTTGTAGTGGTAGGATTATCTGTATCTTGACTATACCAATGTCAATATCCTGTTTGTGCTATTGTACCATAGTTTACCATAGTTTTGTTAGGTGTTACCATTGGGAGAAACAAAGGAACACATATTATTTCTTTTTCTTTTTTTCTCTTTTAGACAAGGTCTCATTCTGTTGCCCAGGATGGAGTGCAGTGGCGTGATCATGACTCGCTGACGCCTCGAACTCCCAGGCTCAATCATCCTACCTCAGCCTCCCAAGTAGCTGGGACTACAGGCACACACCACCATGCCCAGCTAGATGTATTATTTCTTACAAGTGCGTGCGAATCTATAATTATCTCAAAATAAAAGGTTTTATGAAAAAAAATTTAACTCTAATCTACTTTCCTAGTGAATAACGTGCCACTCCTTTCCATATATCTCATGAGTGGCCACATTGAACTTATTTTTTCCAGAGAGGGTAAGACACCTCTTTAAAGCCATATGCACCAGGTGTGGTGGCTCATGCCCCTATAATCTTAACACTTTTGGAGGCTGAGGCGGGAGGATCGTTTGAGGTCAGGAGTTCAAGAACAGCCTGGGCAACACAGTGAGACTCCATCTCTACAAAGATAAAAACAACAAAACAAAGTTTTTAAAAAATTAGCTAAAACCGCCAGGCACGGTGGCTCATGCCTGTAATCCCAGCACTTTGGGAGGCCGAGGCAGGCGGATCACCTGAGGTCAGGAGTTCAAGACCAGCCTGGCCAAGATGGTGAAACCGCATCTCTACTAAAAATACAAAAAACTAGCTGGGCGTGGTGGCGGGCACCTATAATCCCAGCTACATGGGAGGCTGAGGCAGGACAATCGCTTGAACCTGGGAGGCGGAGGTTGCAGCGAGCCGAGATCGTGCCATTGCACTCCAGCCTGGGCAACAAGAGTGAAACTCTGTCTCAAAAAAATAAAAAAAAAAGTAGCTAAAGCCATATGCAGTGCAACAGTCTCTCAGGTTAGATGCTTATAAAAGCATATAGCCAAAATTACCCTAGAATAACCCTTTATGAAGATGTCATACGGGAGACCAGCATGTCAGCTCTCCTTTAAGCCCAGACATAGCTAGACACACTCTACTTTGTAACAATGACCGCTTCTTCACTTGAGCACCAGTTGAAGTAACTGGGTTGTATTTAGGGGCTATGTTTTATGAAAACTTATCTTTGGATACCAGAACCCCACTTCACATGACTGGATGCCCATACAAGAATTCAGCGCAACTACAGAAAAGCAGGTGCATGTCTCTCATCTCTCCCTCTCCCTCCCTCCCTCTCTCTCTCTCTCTCTCTCTCTCTCTCTGTGGGGCATAGGTTCATTGAATAGAAGAGCAGGCAGAACAGCCCACACCATTTACATGATCTCTCTTTTTTAGGCTACACATGTATGGCTGCATTTATATGATGCAGTTCTACTGCTAAGCTTATCATACAGCAAGGAAATATATATCTTTACCAAACTGCTCCCGAGTAGCCTGTGATAACAAGGATCATCTCTTACTTTTTATTTATTTATTTATTTTTGAGACAGGGTCTCGCTCTGTTGCATAGGATGAGTGCAGTGGCACAATCATGGCTCACTGCAGCCTCGAATTCCCGGGCTCAAGGAATCCTCCCACCTTAGCCTCCTGAGTAGCTAGGGCCACAGGTGTGCACCACCACGTCTGGCCAATTTTTTTTTTTTTTTTTTTTTTAGTTACAGGGTCTTGCTATGTTGCCCAGGCTGGTCTCGATCTCCTGGGCTCAAGTGATCCTCCCGCCTTGGCCTCCCAAAGTGCTGGGACTACAAGTGTGAACCACTGCGCCCAGCTCTAATTTTGTGTTATTTTGATTTTATACCAGTGTCAGGCTGGCCTGGTAGAATGAGTTAAGCATTCCGTCTTTTATGTGTTCTAACACATAAATGGAATTTATATTTAACATGGAAAAAAAGGAACTAGTAACTCACCTTTACTGCATTGCCACCACCTTTGGGACCTTGAGCCTTCTTGTCAGCACTGTCACTCCCAGAGGCTGCTCCCCCTTTAGAGAAGAGATGACAGGTACTCATTTAAACTGCACCTCCATGTTTACGGACAGGTCCAACACACAACGGGAGTGGATACTTCCATCATAACGCCACACTTCAAAAGGGAACTCGGCCAGACACTTTACAACAAGGGTATCCAATCTTTTGGCTTCCCTGGGCCACAATGGAAGAATTATCTTGGGCCACACAAAATACACTAACACTAATGACAGCTGACGAGCTAAAAACAAACAAACAAACAAAAATCACAAAAAAATCTCATAATGTTTTAAGAAAGTTTCCGAATTTGTGTTGGGCTGCATTCAAAGTTGTCCTGGGCCATATGCAGCCCGTGGGCCACGGGTTGGACAAGCTTGCTTTACAACATCAAGCTAAATTAATCTGACTCATCTTTCTTCAAACAGGAAATCTGTGCCCTATATAAACCCTTCACAGAAAATGGATACACAAATGAGTGTGCTAATAGGTAAATGAAAGCTCCGGAAGCCTGGCCCAGATTCTCTGCATGCAATTTAACACCCTGCCTTCTGAGGGCAGACTCTTAAGTTCTTGTAAGAGTTCTATCAAGTATCACAACTATGTGTTCAAGCATCACAATTCCAGTAAGTAAAATCTCCAAGAATATATTTTTTAAAAAGATCAAATTTCCCACTACCCTTTTTTGGCTAAAGAATACATTCATGTCCAGATTTCTAGAGTCTACTACATTGCCTACTGATGTCTTCCTAGAACCATTAGCAGCATCTTACATTTTACTAGTATGTCATTTTACTACTATGGTAACTTCTGTGTCAATGGCAGCCTACGTACTGCTAGAGGCTGATGTTCCTAATAATTACAGTTGAATTAAGGGTTCAGTTCAATAAACATTTCCTAAACAACTACTGAGTTCCAGGCACTGGGAGTACAAAGATGAACAAGCCATGTACCTTCCTTCAGAAAACTCATATTCTAGTGAGGAAGACAGATCATTTCAGGAGAATGCAGGATATGCAGAGATGGTGATGGACAGGGGGCTGTGGAGGCACAGAGGAACACTGGAGCCAGCCAGGAAGGTTTCCTGGATGAGTAGGAGCTGGTTAGCCAAAGAAAGGATGAGGAGACACTCCAGAATGGGGGAAACGACATGGTATGTGTAAGAAATTGTATGGATGAAGCCAAATCTGAGGTGGGAGTGCACTCAGATGAGCCTGCCTGAGGGAGGTAGCTGAGGGTCAGGTCATTGAGGCCTTTTGGCCCCATTAAGGAGCTTGGGATTTATCTTAGACGTAATAGGGAGCCATTGAAAAGTTTTAAGCAGGAGTGTCCATCTTGCTTGTCTTAGTATCTCTAAGCCTAGCACAATGCCTGGCACACAAAAGGTATTTTAATAAATGTTTGATTAAACTGAAATCCCCAAATACTGACTACCAAAACCCTAAGAAAATGCTACTGCCAAAGGAGTGTTATTAAATCAAACTCCTAACTGGGTTTGCTGTAGATCCGCTCTTGAATGATGATGCCTTCCAGTTATCCCATCCTCTTCCCCACTGGATGCTGTCATCTTCTGACTGCCACCTCACTGCCTTTGATTTCCTAAGGACTCTGGCAACAGCTTTGGGCTTCCTCTCCACCCTCACTCCTGCCATTACCTTGAGTGACCTCACCATCTATCTTGAGGAATCTCACAGTTCTAGGTCTCTTTCCCGAATGTCATGCTCTCTACTCCAAGCTACCGGCCCCGGGGGCACACAATGCAACTGTGCCACTCAGAACTAGTTCAGTCTCTGGCTATAACCTCCTGTCCTTCCAGCTTTCTCATGTCTCATTCCCACAGTACTGGCTCTCTGACTTCACAGAACCTCCCCCTCGACCCCAGTCCCTTTGTCCTGCTACATTCACCTAGACCACCAGACCTCTTTTCACCTTCCCACTCTGGACCCCATGCTCGTTCATCTGAACTGCATTCCCACTGGCCCTTGTAATTCCCTTGTGTTGCTATCGTCCTATCATAACTGCCTAACAAAACCTCAACCACGGCTTAAGGCTGCACCTAGCTCTTTTCAATCCTATATTGTGCCAGTTGCATGGTACCACGTAAATCAGACTGTGAATATTATGTAGTCTACAAATTCATGGCCTTTGATCTCAGTCAGGCTCCTAGCCCTGAGGGCACTTCTTTTACTTTTGTTTCATTCCATCTCCCATTACAATATTCCAGACCTTTATCACTCTCCTCAAGATGCCTACTGACTCCCTGCCCCTCCATCTCCTTTCCTATGACCTCAAGCATAAGGTGTCCCTGCTCCCCTTAGGTCCTGGATTCCATTTTCTCCTAAATCTCACTCCTCTGTACCTTTACCTCTTTTACTTTACTGGATCCTTCAGCTTCACTCCCAAGTTTTCCCCATTCCAAAGAAGCAAAGAAAATAAAACTTTCTCTTAATCCTCTGTCCTCCTCTATCTACCATCCCATTTCCATGCTTTTCAATTAAAACTTTTCAAGAAGTCCAAATTACCACTTCCCAGTCAGTTCTATAGTCACTGCAATCTGGCTTTTGTTTCACTGAAATCACTTTTACCCAAGGCCACCTCTAATTTCCAAATCTGCCGTGCTTGATAGACTATACCCTCTCTCTTTAAAACATTCTGGTCTCTCCTGCCTCTGGCCACCATTCTGCACTCCCTCTATCTGTCTGCCTTTCTCTGCCTGTCCTAGATCACATCCTCTGCTCTCTGCTCTTTTAATTCTATAAACTCACTATGGATAACTGCATACACTCTAATGGGCTCAACTACCATCTATAAGTTAATGACTCCTAAAACTTACATGTACAGTCTAGACCTCTCCCTCAAACTTCAGACTCAAATATTCAACCACTTCCTGACTACATCTCCACTGAGATGTCCCACAGACACCTCAAAGCCAATCTATCTGAAAGTGAATTCATCAGTCTCATCCCTGCTCCTCATGTATCCTTGATGTTAGCCTGCAGGACCTGCAACAGGTTAGAAATCCAATCCAGAAAACAGAATGATCGTTGATCCTCCCTCACCACCCCTCCCCAACCCAATAAATCACTAAGTCTTGACTATTTCACATCCTAATGTTTACAGAATCTTTTCTCTTTTCTCAGTTCCCACAGCCACTGCCTTAGGTCAGTCCACCATCATCTCTCACCAAGACTACCACAACAATCTCCTTACAGGTCTTTCTGATCCTTAACAGTCCTTTTTAGCACCACATATAGCACTCTCCATGATCTGGTCTCTGTTTCTGTTTTCATTCTCACCACTTGCCATTCTGCCTTGAGTTTTTGCTCCAGCAACACTACACTGCTCACATCATGCTGTTTCCCACCTCAGTGCTTTTGCTGCTGGACCCCAAGTTAGGAATGCTTTAACCTACCCTCAATGCTCATCTTGACCTCTGCCTAATTCGTCTCCAGGAAGCCCTGTTCCCCAGCTAAATGAAGCACTTCTCTCAATTTCTATTATATCCCATACACATCCCTCAACACTACATTTAGTACAGTGCTTTATGATCACTAAGCCTTTATCTTCGGGAGCTCCTTAAGGCCAAAATCTTTTTTTTTTTTTTTTTTGAGACAGAGGCTCGCACTGTCGCCCAGGCTGGAGTGCAGTGGCACGATCTCGGTTCAATTGCAACCTCTGCCTCCCGGGTTTAAGCGATTCTCCTGCCTCAGCCTCCCGAGTAGCTGGGATTACAGGCGTGCACCACCATGCCTGGCGAATTTTTGTATTTTTAGTAGAGACGGGGTTTCGCCATGTTGGCCAGGTTGGTCTCGAACTTCTGACCTCGTGATCCACCCTCCCTCGGCCTCCCAAAGTGCTGGGATTATAGGCGTGAGCCACCGCACCCAGCCCTCTGTCTTATTTTTATATCCTCAGCGCTTAGCACTGTGCCTGACACATTTCTGTTCAATGGATGAATGATTCCTTCCCCGATGGAGGGCATGTCATTCTGTAAGCACTAAAGTGAACTTTAAGGACCATAATCAATGTGTACTTCTTATTACTGGCTTTTGATAAGACCCAATTTTAGAGCTCTAATAACCCCTCAAAATAGCAGCCCTAAAGTCATCGCCTCCGAGGAACTATCCCCACCAGATTCCATTACCCATCAGGGCGCTCCCTGAACCGTAGCCCAATGTATTCCTACAGATGGAATCGATGGGGCCACTGTGGGGCCACTGGCTACCTGCTGCATTCGTCCCGGACTCCGGAGATGGACTGTCTGTTCCCTCCCTTCGCTCCTCACCCGCCCCCATTCTCCTGGATCGCTCTGGCCGCTCTACCTTTCCCCGCTTTTCCAGAACCACTTTTTCCTTTGGGCGGCATCTTGGAAGCTTGTTGTTGAACTCTGAACTGCTCCAGTTGCCGTTCAAGCCCCCTTACACCGCCATGGGCATGTCCTAAACAAATGCCTGAAAGCCGCATCTCAATTGACCGTTCTTATTGAGGCTCCGGAAGCAGGCACAGCTCGGGGCAGACCCTGTCCTTTGGCTCTTGGACCAATGGGGCTGAAGATGTCTGACCAATAAGACGCTTCGGGCCGAAACAAAGGCGGAGGGGCGGAGACAAAGGCCGGATTAGGGCGGGAAGCCCCGCCTCTGCGCTTTTTGTGACTTCTTTCACGCACCGTAATTTGCACCAGATCCCCCACTCCCCACGCTCTACCCCCGAAACCTCCAAGCTTTTTTCACGCTTGCGCAGTAGGAGCCGCGGGGGCCTCTGCAGTCCCTCGGCGCCAGCTCTGGCCAATCCCGCGGGGCCGCCAGACGAAGGGAAGCAGGAGGAACAGTGGTGGCGGCCAACTTCTGCTGTCTCCTCCTACACATAGGGTTGTCCTCCCTGGCAGTTTTTCGTTTGTTAATTTTATTCTGCAGTTGTAGCTAATTGGGTTCAAAAGGTAGTTTTTAAAAAAGCCTGTTACCCTTTTGCCTCTTGCAGAGCTCAGTCATGGAGAAACATTGGAAGCAGTCTTAAGTGCTCCTCAGTCGGGTACTGCTTAAATAATGTTTTAGCCACACAAAAATATATTATACAACATTCAAAATAACGGTTTTGAACAGATAGGGGAAATTTTTTTTTTTTTTTTTTTGAGACGGAGTCTCGCTTTGTTGCCCAGGCTGGAGTACAGTGGCCGGATCTCGGCTCACTGCAAGCTCCGCCTCCCGGGTTTACGCCATTCTCCTGCCTCAGCCTCCCGAGTAGCTGGGACTATAGGCGCCCACCACCTCGCCCGGCTAGTTTTTTTGTATTTTTTAGTAGAGACGGGGTTTCACCGTGTTAGCCAGGATGGTCTCGATCTCCTGACCTCGTGATCCACCCGTCTCGGCCTCCCAAAGTGCTGGGATTACAGGCTTGAGCCACCGCGCCCGGCCTGGGGAAATGTTTTTAAGACCAAGATAAAGAATATGATTCCTTGTAAAAAGAAGTATATGTAATGCACAGTATGGTATATGAATATAAAGGAGAGGAAAGCTATACAGCAAGATGTGGCCAGTGGTGCTACATACAGGTCATCGTGTTTATTTCTGTGTATTTTCCAAAATTTCCATAATGGTGCAGCATAATGTAGTAAAAGCATGGATTCTGGAGCCAGATTGACCAGTTTCAAATCCCTGCTCCAAATCTGTCTACTAGCTCCATGACCTTGAGGAAGTTACTTCACCTCTCTTTGGCTCAGTTTCATCATCTGTAAAATGTAGTCGATGATAATAGTACCTACTATTATCCTATCAGGTGTTAAGAGAATTAAACAAGTTCATATCTGTAAAGCACATAAAATGATGGCTTTCTCATATTAATAGTGTTTGCCTAAGATAAATGATTTTTGAATGTGTGCCCACACACTTTTTCTCCCCTTACAATCCCTCCCACCATCAATAATTTGTATATGATATGTCAGGGCGTTTTCTCCACTCCATGAGAGAGCTGTCCTAGCTTGCCACTGCCAGCCAGAATGTAGAGGTCTTCCAGCTCAGAGTTTAGTTTCTGGATGCAGCCTTGCTGGACCTGGAGATGCTTCATGCTCATACCAGGGACTCAGGTATTTCTGAGATTGTGCTCATCCCCTACTCAAGACATAACATGGAGCCCCCTTATGTTTGGCTGCTATAAATTCTGGACACATTTTGGGCACTCCTTGTTTCGGATTGGGAGTGATCAACTGCAGAGGACACATCTAGTGGTGAGGGGATCATTGCTCTGCCACTTCGGAGGTGGATCCTGCCCCTGTACTAATTTTCCAAGTTCGGCTGCGAGATGGAGGGTCGGGGGAGTCAGGGGGTCGGGGTTGCGGGTTGACGATGACAGTGTAACCTTGTGTTCATCAGGTTATCTATGGCCAAGAGGCCCAAGAGGAACCCTTACTTTTGATTTTTCATTGGGAAGAGCCTTTCCTGTGACCACTGGCTATGGCAGTTGTGAAGTAGGAATGAAGCAAACTAGAGTTCAGATCCCAATGAACAGCCAATGTCTGTCAATGGCTGATGTGCCTGGCAAGTGCTTAGTGCCTGGAACACTGTGAGAGTTCTGTGCATTCCAGCAGATAATAACAACAACAATGATAATACGTAAGCCTGTGTCCATGGCTGAATTTTTCAAGCAAGCCTGAAGGCCAACAGCTCCAAGGGGAAAAGAATGGGCATAGGCCTGCTGGAGGTTTCAAGGTCAAAAGCACTTTAAGACAGATCTCAACTATGCAGTATGCATTACAAAAATGGGGCAGGTATTATAATACAATTTTAAGTATAAGTTCTGAAATGTGAGTTTAACTTTCATTTTCTTCAGTTTATATTATCTTCTATCACTTGAGATTTTTTATTCAAGAGAAAAAGACAATAAACATAATTTGAAAAGCAAATCATAGAAAAGCCAGCTTCTATTCAGGGTTAAGTCTGCACCAGTCTATGGAGGCAGACTGTGGAGGAGTCTGTGGAGCAGAGTGACAGATTAACTGAAGAGAGAGGGCAGGGGGAGCAAAGAGGAGAAAAATTCAGCCTTGAAACCATGGTAACATCTGCTGGAGTGTGCACTGCGACTCAGCCAGCAATGGCTGCCAGTTGTATTTTCTACTAATTATCTCATCAGGTTCATTCTTCTATGCATTACTTGAGGAAAATCAGGAAGAGAAGCTGGCAGCCCTCTTCCCAGGACAGAGGTTCACAGACCTTGGCCCAGACTCACATATTGCCCCACCTAACCTGCTTCACAGCCAAAGAACTACAGTTTCTTTACTATTTGAGATCCCAGTGGAGCTTATTCTGCAGGGGAAAGCTTGAAGCAACAAAACACAGAGATCTAGTTGATCCCATTCATAGATGGTCATTGCATAGGGAACTCTGGGTCCCAGACTCTGGGAACAAGGGCAGGAAAAGGTCATGTTTGGAAAATGAAGACAGGAAAAAAATCAGTACATAGTGGATGAGATCAGCCACCTATAAAAGTAACTACTTATCGTGGCAAATGGACATAGGTATTGATATTAAATATATTGCTGATAAGACTGATGTATCTCCGGGAGTCCAGTCAGTGGCCAGATAATTTTCTTTCTTTCTTTTTTTAAATTATACTTCAAGTTCTAGGGTACATGTGCACAACATCCTGGTTTGCTACATAGGTATACATGTGCCATGTTGGTTTGCTGCACCCATCAACTCATCATTTACATTAAGTATTTCTCCTAATGCTATCCCTCTCCCAGCCCCCCACCCCCCAATAGGCCCCAGTGTGTGATGTTCCCCGCCCCGTGTCCAAATGTTCTCATTGTTCAATGCCCACCTATGAGTGAGAACATGCGTGTTTGGTTTTCTGTCCTTGTAATAGTTTGCTGAGAATGATGGTTTCCAGCTGCATCCATGTCCCTGCAAAGGACATGAACTCATCCTTTTTTATGGCTGCATAGTATTCCATGGTGTATATGTGCCACATTTTCTTAATCCAGTCTATCATTGATGGACATTTGGGTTGGTTCCAAGTCTTTGCTATTGTGAATAGTACCGCAATAAACATACGTGTGCATGTGTCTTTATATGCAGCATGATTTATAATCCTTTGGGTATATACCAGTAATGGGATTGCTGGGTCAAATGGTATTTCTAGTTCTAGATCCTTGAGGGATCACCACGCTGTCTTCTACAATGGTCAAACTAATTTACACTCCCACCAACAGTGTAGAAGCCTTCCTATTTCTCCATATCTTCTCCAGCATCTGTTGTTTCCTGACTTTTTAATGATTGCAGTTCTAACTGACATGAGATGGTATCTCATTGTGGTTTCGATTTGCCTTTCTCTGATGACCAGTGATGATGAACATTTTTTCATGTGTCTGTTGGCTGCATAGATGTATTCTTTTGAGAAGTGTCTGTTCGTATCTTTTGCCCACTTTTTGATGGGGTTGTTTGTTTTTTCCTTGTAAATTTGGTTTGAGTTCTTTGTAGATTCTGGATATTAGCCCTTTGTCAGATGGGTAGATCGCAAAGATTTTCTCCCATTCTGTAGGTTGCCTGTTCGCTCTGGTGGTAGTTTCTTTTGCCATGCAGAAGCTCTTTAGTTTAAGTAGATCCCATTTGTCTATTTTGGCTTTTGTTGCCTTTGCTTTTGGTGTTTTAGTCATGAAGTCCTTGCCCATGCCTATGTCCTGAATGGTATTGCCTAGGTTTTCTTTTAGGGTTTTTATGGTTTTATGTCTAACATTTAAGTCTTTAATCCATCTTGAATTAATTTTTGTATAAGGTGTAAGGAAGGGATCCAGTTTCAGCTTTCTACATATGGCTAGCCAGTTTTCCCAGCACCATTTATTAAATAGGGAGTCCTTCCCCCATTTCTTGTTTTTGTCAGTTTTGTCAAGGATCAGATGGTTGTAGATGTGTGGTGTTATTTCTGAGGCCTCTGTTCTGTTCCATTGGTCTATATCTCTGTATTGGTACCAGTACCATGCTGTTTTGGCTACTGTAGCCTTCTAGTATAGTTTGAAGTCAGGTAGCATGATGAGTGGCTAAATAACTTTCTAACCCACTTCATACTAGGTAATGAAGCTTTAAGTGACTGGGTTTTCTTTTTTTTTTTTTTTTTTTTTTTTTTTCGGAGACGGAGTTTCACTCTGTTGCCCAGGCTGGAGTGCTGTGGCGCAATCTCGGCTCACTGCAAGCTCCGCCTCCCAGGTTCACACCATTCTCCTGTCTCAGCCTCCTGAGTATCTGGGACTACAGGCGCCCACCACCACGCCTGGCTAATTTGTTGTATTTTTAGTAGAGACGAGGTTTCACCGTGTTAACCAGGATGGTCTCAATCTCCTGACCTCGTGATCCGCCTGTCTTGGCCTCCCAAAGTGCTGGGATTACAGGTGTGAGCCACCATGCCCAGCCGTGACTGGGTTTTCAAAAAAGACTTCAGAGAAGAAGGCTCCATCTGTGTTTGTCCAGCATTATCTAAG